AAAAAAAACCTTTAAATTTCTTATCTGACCCCCAGCTGCTGATCGGTCTCTGCTTTGGTCCCTCTTTTTTGTTGAGAACATCGTAATAGGGGATCGTGGTTCGTTCTTTTTCTCTTTCCCAAGTCTAATATCTATGCATAAATAACTCAGTATTTTCAAGATATACGTGTAAGTTATGTTCTAGATTACAAACAAAAAAGTACTTCAAAAGCGTTAGATCCCTCCCTTATCTACAATATACTTCCACGAATCTCGTTTATAAAATACAAAACTTACAAAATCGTGTGTTCAAATACGATTACTCTATCTTCAACGAAATACATAAAGAACTCGTTGCACAGAACATAAACATTCGTATTTATATAAAGGTTCATTAACATCTGTGCAGTTTTTTTATTGTTCCTAGGCATACTGATGTTGGTTCATTTAGATCTTAAAAATTAAAGGTTTACAAATAGATAATGGTGACACACATTGGTTTACTGGACTTACTCATAATCTTTGTGAACATTTAGTAAACAATATTTACAAAATTCATTTTTTTCCGTAAACCTAATGTTACATAAATTTCGATGATGACATTCCAAGGTATATTTTTAACATTTTACAATTGTAGCCGCGTTCTTAATCATTTATCGTTTGGAAGAATAGAAATATTTTAACGAGAAATATATTATTCACCACCGTCTGCCTAGTTTTCATTTATATATCTTAAATATTAAGATACTTAATATATAAATTCTACCCTCTGATTTATAAATACGAAAATATTCAAAATATCGATGCAAAAAGGAATAAATAATCGAAAGAAACTGGTATTAAATAACAAAGGCGAGTGAGAGTGCATCGTACTTGTAAACCGATTAAACGAGTTTGCCGTGTTGCACACGATCGACTCGAATCTTTTACTAAGGCGTCGATGCCGCCTTAACCGCAGCGCTCGATATTACGCGACGAAAACTAGTCCGCGACAGCGACGTTCTATGTTGAATATCTCTTGAAGTATATCACGACAGACGTTGAAACTCGTTACGAGGCTTCGATCAGCGGCACAGACAACTGTGATCGTGATTTTTTCAAACGAAACGACGTAATATTTGCAAAATATGCAACATTATGGCACGAGAATCGGGCGGGCGCGGCTCCCCGTACGGTTTCGATCAGTGCCGTACTGCGACGATTCGACGCCCCGCACTAAAATCGAATTGTCGAAACCATCGAATAACGTGTCATCATTTTTAATTTTACCGAATAATCATATTAAATAAAAAATTATTATTATTTTAAAATAAAAAATGATTATTAAAGTATTCAAAAAGAAAGGAGAAATCACATTTCATAAATCCTTCCTTAAACTTTGATGCGCCAGTCCATGCGAACGTCAATAAAAAGCTTCGTTTTCAATTTCTAGCATAACTCATTAAAACTAAGACAGCCGGAAGAATGGTAATTTTACAACGTTCGTAATTACTGTTCATTGGAACATCTCATAAATCTAGCCCTTGGACGCTGAAAGTGACGTAACGGAGACGCTATCAGCGGCGCTTTACGCGCTGCTTCGAATTGCACAACATTGTGTGTCAAGGGCTGCCTACGTACATACGTATGTACATTATGACTATCCTTTCTAGGCGGTGCATACAATCGTTCTTTGTGCGAAAACTAGCGGGCTAACAGTATGTTTAGAGCTGATACGCTGTTCGCACGTAAAATGACACTTTGATTTCGATGGACACCCCAATCATAAGGGTTGTAACGAACGGAAAGCAAAGAAATCTAAGAGATCAATAATCAAACGCCTACACGAGCGTTTCCATTAGCCGCGTCGACAACTTTGATGTCAAGAGAACATTCCCTGCCGTAGGGTATCTTTTATCGTAAACACGTAACACTCCCTTCGCAAACACCGAGAGATCCATTGTCCCGAAGGCGACTCAAATTTTTCACAACAGATTCTGTTGCTTTTCGAAATAAGCTCGATAGCCATTATATAACTCTCGCATTTAAAAGTGCGCTACACGGGAAATAATAGGGGATACCAACCGTTTCAGTTACCTTGCAAATAAATGCACCCAGAGGAAGTTATTATTGAATTACATATAAATTTCCGGAAGTATAACGCACATGTTTATTGGCTCCCGATTGCGTAAATAGAGAAACCCGTCGAAGGAGAAAATACTTTGCGAGCGATGTTTGTTATGTTTTACTGGCGTATCTATCGCATGTTAGATTTTTTTCAACTCGCACTAAATAAGTAACAGTGGTGATGTTAGTCATGCAATATCCATCGTGGCAAACGGTCAATCGTAGTGTTACGCGCGATTTTGTCAAGTTGCGAAGCACAGTCTATATATCTAGGAACATGGCTTTTGTATTCTACCATGTGACTAACGATACCGAAACATTGCACATTCAGGTGTAATGCCTCTGAAATAAATTGTATTGTAACGATCGTTTAGAAGCACCAATAAAAACTTTCAGAAAGTTGTGAAACAGAAACTCTGATAAAGTCGAAGATAATTTCAGTCACAGCTTCATTCAGCGGAACGATCCAGGAAGGGGATGAAATTGCGTTAAAATTTATATCTCCGCGAATTTCGTTCGTACAAACGCAAACTTGCATATACTTCCGCTATTTAGAAGCTATCAATCAAAACGCGGAATTTTTACATGAAAAATCCATGAACAGATTCTTTTCGCCCCTTCCCACCCCGAACAGACTTTAATAACGTTCTACCAAATTTCATATGCTCTTAAAATATCCGAAACAAAGTTTACTTTTCAAAAAACAATAACAAGAATATTCAAAACACAAAAAATTAAAAAAAAAATGCTTTATTTGAACCGTAAAGGAGAATGAATATCTTATATAATAATAAACGCGCGTTAGATATACTGGAGGAACAAAGCGTATTATTATCACGTTATTGATAAGACGAAGCATAATTATTCGTAAGCAACGCGGTATTCGTCCAAGCGCCGGTTAAAAAGACGGAATGGGAGCGGTGGAAGTGGCCCTAAAGTAGCGACACCGATTATCGAGCGATAGGAGTGAAAATCGGCCGGCTGGGGAGCCGACGCGTCGAGAGGCGACGCGACGCGTCGAAGTGTGGGGTGGGGCGCGGGTAGCGCTTGGCACGGTCCTGGCGCCGGTCCCGTAGCGGCGGGCATGCCCATGGAAGATGCAAGGCACACGAGCCGAGCAGTTCAGTTGCCTTTAACCGGCCTTAAAGTAAAGGTTGGGTTTCCGCCGATCGCCGTGCGCGTGCACAGGGACAGAGTTAGAGCCACCGGCTTATCGTACGGATTGCGCCGAGAATGAAATTCTTTCCTCGTCCGGTCGAATACAGCAGCAGTTTTTCTTCGTACAGCGTACTCGACAATAAAAGAAAACGGCTGGAACGTTTATGGCCGAACGGCAGTAGTACACGCGGCTGAAATTCGCCTGAACGGAGAGAACGCATACCGCTACTTTACCTCAGACAGTTTTCCCCGTGTCACTCCTACGGCGCACGGGCGAGGTGGATCACCGGCCGTTGTCTCAAGCAGAGACGCGTTTGTTTTCAAGTGCCGCGGAAAATATAATCAACGTTCGCTGTCCACCGAGTGGGTGAAACCGGAACCAAGGAAGAACCGAGGAAAAAATTTCGACGGAGACAAGAGGCGGGACGCGCCTTTCTTCTGCGTATCGGTTCAAGTTTTCCGCGCGATTTTCAAAGTCGCGCCAAAGTGTGTTCCATACTGGATACTATTTCTCTCTTGGGTTACAACACGAAGTGGCCGACAGGTATGTGCCGCCCCGTATCCCTCGCACTCTCTCCCGGAATTTATTTTTCTTTTTCTCTCGTCTCTCCGCGCGCGCGGTTTTCTCTTAAGCCGGGTTCGCATGGACCCTCGCGCGTCGTCGTTGACACGGACTCGCCTTGGCCATGTAACCGTGTACGCTTTTCCAAACGCTTTCTACTGTGTCCGAGCCGCGCAAAGTGAACGTGACACGTGATTCGATCGAGAGCCTCGGCGGAGGAGAAAACCGAAACGCGAGTGAAGCATCTCGATTCTTGGCATGGCAGATCCGCGCGAATAGACGCTCGCGCGGACGTGCTAGGCTATTTCGTCGGGCGGTGTGCGCGGTACACGCGACGACGCCGCGAGGCGTTCCTTGAAAGATCGAAACGTTTTTCCGACTCCGTATAGATCGAAATTCCGCCCCGCGTATTAATATCGATGAGATGTGCCCTGCTTTCCCGGAAAACCGAGAGAGATCCACCCCGGAACACTTTGTATCAAGTCGATGAAATTTCTTTCTGGCAGCTGGCCTGTCCGCTCGAATTATACTCTATGGTCTATTAATAGGTTATGAAATACTCGGCCGGTTCATTTCAATTGCACATGTATCCGCGTCCGCTTGAACTTTGACGCGAAAATTCACACTATTCAGCATCTTTCACGCGAATAATTCAATGTGACAACGCCAATGATTCAACGACAAACCTGTTCGAACTTTCGGACGACGCGTAGTGATGATTCGATAGTTTCCGTTGGACGGTTTCGGGACTCTTCGAAGTTAAGAGAATTTTGGATTTTTTTTACGGACTGCTGTGGGTATCGCTGATCGATTTTGCTGAACGCTTTCCTTGCGAAGCTTCGCATCGCCTTTCGTTCGAAATCAATACCGTACGCGAAAATATGTGTGTCAGGCGGAGATAAGCGAGTCTACTACGTGTATTGCACTTTCTATCGCAATGCCGTGCAACGTATTAATCCGCCGAGTGCCCGCGGCAGTTCTAGCATTAGGAATTCGTTCGGTAGTTACCTGAAGGCCGGCCAGCGACATTTTTCATCGTGACTCGCGCCTTTTCATCCTAGGAAGAAATCCACTCTTAATTAGAACTCGCCGGTAGGAAAGCTGTCGGCTTGTTACACGCTTGAACGATAATGTGCGACGGAAGTTAGTGAACACGCACCGCCACCTACCTAAACCTAAGACCGGTTTTTGAGTTCGATGTGTATAGGCTCTCCGTGGTTCGATTGAAAAAAGTTCGATGTATCGATCGTCGACGCGGCATGTCTGAATTCTTTCCATTGCCTGGACCAAAAGCCATTTTGTAATCGACCGCTGAAAGTTCAAAGACAAGGTTGTTTCTCTTTGTTTTAATTGGAATTTGTTTCATTTCTTCTGTAGAAATGTTTGATTTTCCATCTGTCGGGCAGACTCTGTTGGTTGTGCCACTTTTTCGGGATCGTGGAAGTGTGTTTGCGATTTTAAGTTTATTAATTTTTTCAATGCGATATTTTCTTTTTTCTATTTTTTTTCCTTTCTGAGTTTGGGACTTGTAGGTATTTTACTTGAACACAATCTTCATCCATAAGCGATTTTTCTATCGAAGTGTTATTCACTAATTTAGAAAAGAATGTTTTTTCTAATGTTAAAATGAATTTATAGAAAAAGAGAGAGAGAGAGAGAGTTGAATGAGAAATCGTAAGGTCTGCGGAACTTATTAGGCGTGCACACCTTTCGCGATTTGTGTCTCCGGGACACGCCCCTCTTTCTAGTATTCCAATAGAGATCGAATTATAATCGGAGATAGTCGATGCCATTCTTTAAAAGGATAAGTGATAGTGTGTAACTGATATATGAAACGAAGCCAGAAGGAATTTAAAAAATTGTTGTGTACTTCTGAATTATTTCGAAATATTTTGAAATCCTCCCATATTGCGAATCATTTGATATATTCCAAATTTTTAATCTTCGATCACGAATTCGCAAAGGCAATCAAGCTATAAAAAGTGAAATAAAAAATGTAATAATTCCGAATACATTTTGAAACGGTAGTTATAATCGTCCTTGTGTCATGAACAGTTCGGCGAACTCGAAATAAAGAATTCCCGATCTACAGAAGTGTAATCGAATAGTTTTAAAAGTAAGAATCTAAAAATTTTAATACCTTTGAAAATATTTTGAAACGTTATTTGAAATTTCCATATATTACAAAATATTCCGTAAATTTAAAATTCCAAATCTCTGATTGCCGGTGTTAAAAAATAATCAGATTATTTCATTGCTTCGAATCAGTGATATGCCAGTGTTTCTTCCTTCAATCATTTCAAAGCCTCGAAAATTTACGCGTGAAGGCCATAGCTGGCACGAGACACTAAAAGAAATAATATTTCTTATCTTCGATTTCCTTCAAGTGGCCTCCGACGAATCGATGGAATTTTCGCGAGAAATCATTACCGATAATCCTCTAAAAACATTCGTTTTCTGTTTACCATTCGGCGACGAGGAATACTTTTTTCGCACGCTCGCTCTCGGTCGACGACGCTCTTTCAGGACGTATTAACGAAAGTTTATCTTTTTTCTTTTCCCCTTTTTTTCTCCTTCTCTTTCTCCATCGTCGCGAAGAGAGTAACATGAAATACGCAGATGCTTTCTTCCGACTGGCAAGGCCGTTCTAGGAAGGTGATTTCTTCCCCACCGTCTCGGCACCAACTCTCTTTTGTTTGATTCAGCACCGAACCAGGGTCAAAGAGAAACATCTAATGTATCATTGTTTTTCAACGTTTCGCGTTTTTCACGGGCGAGCGAGCCACAAAGCCCCGCCGTCGGCGCACTCCTTACCCCTTCCTCCCCTTTCACTTTTTCTTCCCAACTCGTCGCTCGTTCGCCCGTTTTCCTGGCTCTACCCTCGCTCTGGTTTTCGATACCGATCTCCGTTCGCGATCAACGCGGACCCGGTTAACCGAGTTTTTGAACGAATGTCTTTGTCTCCTCGAAATATTGAGCATCACCGATACTTTTACTCTTCGCCAGAACCGAGCATTGTTTATCGCTCTCGTAAATACCGCCAAATTGTGTCTGTAGTGAAACCATCGTGATTCCGGCGCGCTGTCACTCCCACTCGTGTTCGTGAATTAAGTGACAGGATTTTTGGGCGTCTAACTTTGTTTTGGTTTTCTGTTAAGAAAACAGGAATCGTTACCTCATACAAGTGAATAGATGAATAATTAAATATTTTTGATTGTATATCTTCCATATCGATGCACTTTAGCAATGAATGTGTAGTTTTATTATTTAATTTTAGGGAGAAAGCAAAATTCAGAAAGATTGCGAGTGTAGTAAATATATGTGTGAAGAATGCTGTATTGAAGGTTTCGCGTTAGTTTAGCTGGAAACAGGATAATCGGCGGTTATCCTCTTTGTCTGAACCAAAACATTCGGTTAATACCCAAAATAAGTATTTATGGCCGAAAGAATGTGGGATTTAATGGAAGAATTGCGAAGAGAAGCTATACATTAACAATGCGAATAGACGAAAATGTTTACTTTTGTACTGACACAGTACCGATAGGTACAAGCTTCCCGTGTTTTGTGCTTTTTCACATTTATGGTATCCTCCCTTATATATGAATATGAATGAAGGGGTAACGTTATGTATGTTTATTGCAATTTAAAATGTTTACCGTTTTGAACACACAAAACAAAAATACCGTCAACTATGCCTTCATCCAATAACATTTCGTAAAGCTTTCGTGCCATTGAATTTTTCCGCTTTCGTTCGATACATTGTATTACGTTCTGTCGGCCATTTTTATAGAAGTATGCAGCAACAGTTGTATAAATACAAACGTACAGATCGGTCACGAGAAAAGTAATAATGTTTAGAGGATTACGCCTCAAACTACATCCTCTTTCTGTTTTGAAAAATAAAATTTATATCATAAAACTAAACTATTTTTTTTATTTTGTACCCGTAACTCTTGTGCAATGTGACGTACGCCCTTCCTTCAGATACCTATTTAATTGAAACAAGATAATGCATCTCCTGATATTTTTTATTTTACACTCAAATGTCTGTTCAAAAATATGTACATGGTCTCTAAAAACTTTAATCAATCCAACTTAAAATAACTATTAAAACTAACCTCTCTTATAATAAATTTAGTGCCAATGTATAAATTTAGTGTACAACTTAAATTTCAATAAATATTCTCAATACATATTTTTTATTCACAAAGGTTAACAGTTTCATTCAATCCCTGATCCACGCGCAGCAAGAATGAAAGATAACGGGTCTCTCGCTGTCATCGAGGTGGGGCCGACCCAACCGGACATATTGTTCGTACTATGATACCGGTAATAAAAATCGGCGTGTGTAGATTTCACGACAACTGTATACACTGCTGCAAATTTCATTATAATCGTGAGTCACCGGATTTCGCGGCATTCCGTGTGACTTTTTAACGCGTGATCGCTGCGGTATGGCGCCACAGGCGACAATTTTCTTCTATTAGTGTGTAACTGCAACTACAACAGAGTGATAAGACGGAAACAGCAGTTATGCGGCAACTCTTATGCAAAGCGGTGCGTCACTTTACGAGACGATCGGGATTTCTTCGTATCGTTAACGCCCGTTAATTCTTCTTGGTATCGCTTTGTTTTTACTCTTTATAGGTGATTTCATATAAAAAAATTTAGTAACCTGTGGCAAAAATTGTGCAAAAGTGCGTATCGTAAGATATGTTGATTCGATACAATCATGAGATTAGGAATTGTGTCAAAAATTATTTATCGATTTTATT